CATTTCCTATCAGTCATTTAATTAGCAATAACTATTTTGATCTTATTCATGTTGATATTTGGGGTCCTATAAATGTTGCTTCTCTTTATGGTCATCATTATTTTCTTACTATTGTTGATGACAAAAGAAGATACACTTGGTTCTAACCCATGAAAACTAAAACAAAGGCAAGAAGAATTGTAGTCACTTTCTTTGCTTTTGTAAAAACTCAGTTTAAGACAAAAATTAAATGTGTTCGGTCTGATAATGGATAGGAGTTCAAAATGTCAGAATTTTATGCAAAGAAAGGGGCAATTCATCTATATGCTTGCCTATACACACTGCAACAAAATGGTGTGGTTGAAAGGAAATATCAACACATAATGAATGTGGTAAGATCGTTGAAATTCCAGGCCAATCTCCCAATAAAATTCTGGGTCGATTGTGTGCTGCATGCAACCTATTTGATAAGTATTTTGCCTTCTCCAGTCATCAACAATAATGCTCATTTTGAGTTGTTATTCAATAAAATTCCTCAATATTAGCATTTAAAAGTCTTTGGCTGCTTATGTTATGCCTCCAATTTTATTTCTGGTCAATCTAAGTTTGATTTTAGGGTCATTAAATGTTTTTTTCTTGGATTTCACTCTCATGTTAAGGGGTATAGACGGTACAACATCCAATCTCACAAAATTTTTGTCTCTCAGGATGTTCAATTTGTTGAACATATTTTTCCTTTTTCTGTTATTCCTTCTTTGTCCCATACAATATTAAATAAATTTGTTCTTCCTTACATTAATGATTTAATCACATATTACAACATTGTGCAACAATCTCTACAGCATCAAGGTAATGTAGATTCTCTCATCTCTGCTGATTCAAATTATTATGGTAATACATCTATTTCTTTATCATAAGATAATTCTTCTCATTCTCTACCCAGAAGTGATACTGAAAATAATTCTAATAATTCTCATATAGAACTTGATTCTTCATTTATTCTACTTCCCCTTAAAAAATCTACTAGATCCACAAAGTGTCCATCTCATTTACAAGATTACTACTTATATGGTTTGAAGCCTTATGTTAATTATGTATCCACTCGGCACTGCATATCTACTGTTCTTTCTTATGATAATATTGCTAGTACACAAACCTTTTGTTCTTACTCTTTCACAAGATATTGAACCATACACCTATAGCCAGGCTGTTAAAATTCCATGTTGTAAAGAGGCAATGGACACTGAAATTAAGGCACTAGAAGCAAACAAACTTGGGATTTTGTTACTCTCCCCTCTAGTAAGCATCGCATTGGTTGTAAATGGGTATATAAGATCAAGAGATGAGCAAATGGCTCTATTGAAAGATACAAAGTCAGGTTGGTTGCTAAAGGATATACCCAATAGTCCGGAATTGATTTCCTAGATACATTCTCCTCGGTTGTTAAGCTCACTACTATTCGAACTCCTTTAGCCGTAGTTACTACCAAAGTTTGGTATCTTCATCAACTAGATATCAATAATGTTTTTTTTACATGGTGATTTAAATGAGGAGGTGTATATGAGTCTTCCACCAGGAATTCAAAGCACACAGTCTAATCAAGTTTATAAACTAAAAAAGAGCTTATATGGTCTTAAACAAGCTAACCGGTAATGGAATTTCAAGCTGACTGAAGCCTTAAAAAATCATGGGTTTGTGCAGGCTTATTCGAATTCTTCACTTTTCTTCAAGCATTCTAATTCTTTTTTTTTTAGTTGTTCTAGTGTATGTTGATGATGTTCTTATTGCTAGCAATGACTTGAATCAAATTCAAACTGTTAAGAATTTTCTTCATGATGCTTTCAAGATTAAAGTCCTTGGTAAGGCTAAATATTTTTTGGGGTTGGAAATATTAAGGTCATCTGTTGGTATTAATTTATGTCAACGTAAATATACTCTGGATTTACTTCGAGACTCTAGTTTTCTGGGCTATAAACTGAGTTTCACACCTATGGTTCCTTCTATAAAGTTAACAAAACATACTAGTGTTTCTCTTAAGATCCTACTGTGTATAAATAGCTTATTGGTAGACTGCTTTACTTTGACAAACACACGACTAGATATTTCTTATTATGTTCAAAATTTGTCTCAATTTTTGGATACTCCTACTCAAGAACATTTGCAAGCTGCACATCAGGTTTTACAGTATCTAAAAGGAACACCAGGGCAAGGCTTTTTTTACCCGGTTTAGAATACTCTTCATCTCAAAGCTTTTAGTGACTCAGATTGGGCAGTTTATAGTGAATCCCGTAAATTTTTTACTAGATTTTGCATTTTTCTTGGAGATACTTTAATATCTTGGAAGACCAAGAAACGACAAATAGTTTCTCAGTCTTCC